CTCTACCCTCTATTTCTTTCTCTTCCTCTCCTCTTTTCCTCCTCGTCTCTCTTTCTTATATGTCCTTCCCTTCCTCCTTCCTCCTTCCTCCTCCTCCTGTTCACCGGTCGATCGTTCTCTTTGCTCTATCCGTGCACACTGTACCAATCGATCGCGCTCCCTTTACGATCGAATGGTCCTCTTCCACTTTTCTTAGATCTTATTACGAAACGTGTCTCTCCCGTAACTGGATCTCACTTCCTTCTGAAATCTCTCTCTCACTTTGATCGTTGTGCGGGTATTATTGTTATACGTGCGTCTCCGTAGCTGGATGGTTCTTGCACAGAGTTTTGTCTTCTTTTTCCTCTCGTCTGTCTCTTTTATTCCTCAGATCCTCCTTCCTCTGGTCTGCATTTGATACGTGTGGCAGGATGCTTTCGTATTTCTGCGTTTCTGCACGCGTATATATATATACGTGTGTGTATGCGTGTGCGTGCGCGTGTGCGTGTGCGTGTGCGCGTGTGTGTGTGTGTGTGTGTAATATGTGCTGCTTGCCTGATGAATCGATGCGCGCGCGCGAACGGACGTTCTCCGACAGCGGAGAACAGCCTATTTCTTTGTTCTAACTAACTTAAAGTCTATCATACACTTAAGTTCAGGTTAAAATTCAGGATTGCCCAGCCCGGACGGTGTGAACGAGAAGGACAGTCCGTGCAGACGCGAATTCTCCTCGAATCTGGACGAAGTAGACGACGTAGTGGTAGTATTTCGGATCCTCTGTGCTGCCGGGTGAGAAATCGCAATCGCGGATCACACTGCTCGTCCCGTTTTGCCCTGAGTAGTTAGTTCGTAGCCCCGTTATGTCGATGTGCGTGAGTGTGTGCGCGTATGTGTGTGCGTGCGTGAGTGTACGCGAACGCGCGAGCCCTTTCGTCGAAAGATTGTCGTAGAAGAAGGGCGGCCGCGGCGTCGGTAGTGTTTCTCGATTATCTGTGTGATTCGTATGAACCGGGACGGCAGTCCTCTCTATCTCTTTCTCGTTCTCTCTCGGTCGGTCCGATTTCGGTCACTCCGTCTGCACAGCGTGTGCGATCAAACGCGAGAATTCGAATCGAGAAAGCCTCTCTCTCTCTCTCTCTCTTCCGCTTTCCGCCGCTTCGAAACGTCTTCTCGCCTCTCCTATCTCTTACTTCGTCCTTCGTCCGTTTTCTCTTCCTCGCGTCCGTTCACGACTCCTCCTCGAAATGCGACTCTAGGGTTCTTTTAACTCTTTAAAAGGAATTCTATTCGATGATCGATTAAACCGCTCGTCGTTTACCGATATCGTCGATCGTAGCTGTGGTTGCTTCTTATTATCGTTTAGGTTTAATAATATTGCACTTAGGTACACTCGTTTTTTGAACACACTGAAATATATATGTATGCGGCGCGAGGTTCTCTCTAACGAGCTTCTTCTTCTTCTTCTTCTTCTTCTTCTTCTTCTGCTGCTGCTTCTTCTTCTTCTTCTTCTTCTTCTTCTTTTATCTCGTCCTTCCTCTCTACCGATTTTTCACTTTACTCTTCTTCCTCTCCGGATCTTCT